CTAAGAGCCGCGGATTACAATTTATAGATTTTACGGACGCGACGTTCGCTTCGAGAATTTGGAAAATCGATGGGGATCCACGGCGTATGGATTTCGTCCGGGGGCGAACGGAGTATGTGGGAATTGCGTTTCGGTTGCCAATGCTTTTATCGAAGTTCGACTAATTGCGAACGAAATGTGTAATTATTGACGCTGAAACTTTTGCGATGATTGAAAAGATAGAAGCTGTTTCTACGAGAAATTATTCGAGAAGTGGATTTAACAATACGCAACCTGAACTGTGAATTAATTGAACTTTCAATAGATGCATTCTTCGAGTTTCTACAGGGGATTTTCACGAAGTCAATTTAGTGTTAATGAAATTGTATAAATTAAAGCGAATATAACTTTCTATTTGGAATTTATTTAGGTAGGATTTATTAAATACAGAACGTAATTACATTGTTGTGGCTTGTTTTCATTGATTGTTATTTTTAAAGAATGTTACGAAATATTGCGTGAAGTTGCTTCAGTTATAATTGATATTAGGTATATACGTTATAATACATATTATATTAATTAATTGTATTATTAATGGATACCTTTTAATGCTGAAAATATTAATATTTTGAATACTTTGAATTGTGTCTAATATAATAAAATTCGAATGAATGTTTTAAATTGATAAGATAAATATAACTGCTTAATGGTACTGTATAAAAATAACATCGAAAGAATAAAATGGAAAGGAGGTTATCAAATTCATTTAGAATTATTTAAAGTTATATTCTTTATCAACTGCCAATCAAACTATAATATTTCCGTTTGGTTGACCTCTGATATATGATTTCACCCGAACGTGCAGGAACGCCGGCCGATCAATATTGACCCTTTAATGTCAAATGTCACCATATTGGCGATATCAAGCTTTTGTATTTAGAATCCAAGGTTGCGAGCAAATAATTTAATCCTTTAAATAACAAATACGATTTTATTTTTCTTAAAGTGTCTCGTATTCAAAACAAAAATTAAAATGAAAAAATAAATAAAAATAATAATCCTTTATTATCTTCTGAACAATAAACGTCTATGCTTCCGTTTGTAACCACAAAATGAATTTTCATAAACTGCCGATTTCACATACAAATAAATGTAATATCAAAAAATAAATTAATATTCATACCACCCTCAAAATACTCCCCTTATATTAATAAAGAACTGCGATAATTCATTAGCGCTGGGAAATTGCGGTTAGGCGGTGACCGGTTTGCGTTAAGACGTGAGACGTTAAGTTGGCCGGCGAATTATGCAAATGCAGATGGCCGGTGATGTAATCGAAGAAGTGGTATTATCGTTTCATGATCAGACAAACCCCATTGGAGTAGCGGAAGACTAGATCCACAGTATTTGAAATTGAAATAGAACGTTCCCGGGTTTAATTAATGCGACGGGCGACCGAGGCTTTTCTTTTCGTTCCCCGCCAATTAATTCCGCATCGGCGCCTCAACGATATTTCATTGTCCTTCCCTTTTCTCCCTTTTGCGCGTTGTGCGTCCAATTAACACATCTTCGGTTAATTATACCTTCCGCTGAAAAGTCGCTGACATGCTCGGGATTTGGAGGATAGTCTGTTTTCAAGGTTCACACATTTCGGCCCGTTTTCAATGTCCACCGGTTCTATTACGTCATTTCAGAAATTAAGGAAGATTCCATTAGAACGTATAATTGCGAGGCGTTTTACAAATTAGTCATTCGCATCATTTCAACGTTTTTTTTCAAGTACCATCGCAACATTGATATTTCTTTAGAAATTTTATAAATTTATGATAATAAATTAATAATTTTTTATTCTCCTTTGTGAAAATTCATTTCTTTGTATGATTCTCTTTCACAATCAAATTCGCGTGAACGTATAATGAAACTATAATGAAAGAGTATTTTATGCCAATCATTAATTATGATATTAATTAATAATTGATTATTATTTTTAAATAAAACCATAGAAAACACGAGCAATAAAATTAATCACCGTTATTTAATTTCTCGTTCCCTCTGTGACCAATTTTATGGTTTTTAATATTTCGATAATTTTTGACAAAATTACTTATTTTCTCAAAAAAGATTTTGAAAATCGATATGTCTTGTACGAATGTATATTTAGCCAATTTCTAGCTTTTTCGCGTAGTTAGTGAAACGAACGTTCCAATTATCTAAAGGGTACCACTTTCACATGTCATTCGGATCACCGGGAGACAACTCTGTAGCTGGCCATACGAGTTCCTTCTCGAGGAATCGATCGTTCATTATCGCCGCGACGTAGTTACCGTTAACTCGCTTCTCCGAACTTCGGGACAACTTTTAAAAGCCAAGTGGCAAGAATACAACCGAAGAGGTAGGGTGCTTTTGTTCGCAGAGCCACACATATATAATTTCAAAAAGGACCGCCATGGATTGTTGTGTCCCTATTGTCCAACCATTTTCCCTATGAAGCTTTTCTTCTGTATACATCGTTAATTTACTTCTGTTTCCGTATTTTCCGAGAGCTTTCTCTATATTCTTTTTATTACCTTCATATATGGTTCGAGAATACGGTTAAATCATTTGCATTAAAAAAATAAACTAGAAATGTGTTTTAATTTTTTTAGTAGAACAAAGCATAGAGTCAACCAAATTTATCCTTACAATGACTACGCGACTAATTATATCCCTTATAATAACATAAGTATTGAATCAAGAAAACAAGTTTCTTTTTCTGTTACAGTGGTACCACGACTTACGTAATCGTTCTACATACGAACTTTTCGACATACGAACTTTCTTCCTACTCCATTCCGACCTTTAGCTGCGAAATTAATTTCGAGGAACGAACCGTGATGCTTTTGTAATCCCGAGTTCTAATATAACAGAAAACTGGGTCTCGAGATAGAAACTTTTCAAGATACGAACTTCGGACCGGAACGAATTAAGTTTGCAAGTGGAGGTACTGTATCATATTTTGTGTATTTCACTTTCGAGCAAATGCTTCATTACGAGTATATCAATCTTACCGAAATATCCTTTATAAGGAACATGACGTGCTTATGAAGAGGGGCCCGTCCGTGCGGCCTCTCCCTAATGGAATAAAGGTCCGAAGGGCTAAAGGAGTCCTTTGCGTGTGCTTAGCTGCGAAAGTGCGAGGGACGCATTTAGGTTCACCTCGGTACGTGCCCGGCGTGTTGCTTATCTACTTGCCTCTGATTTGATTTCGATATCCCGGCGTCCTCCCGTGGGAATTCCGGCGCTTCCCACCGCGAAAAATCTACGTGGGGGAGAAGTTTCCTGGCTAGTTTTCGAATCACGAAATCTCTTTGTGCGCCGTCTCCATGGAATCGACTGATCGATACGTATATATATATATATATGTATCGGGCTACATTTTTTGTCAAGGGAAGCGATATTAGTTCCTGTTATTTGTTCTACCGCTTTTGTCCGACGCCGATGAATTCCATGGTCACTCCCCCATTTAATGTCAAAGCGTTTCTAAATGAAAAATACCGCTCGTGTTCTTTGTAACTTACTTTTAACCCTTTGCTCTGCGATTTCTTTCTTATCTCTGATTGATAATACCACTTTGTCGTTAGTAGTTTAATGGGAAGAGGGAGAAATTGTGAGGATGCTCTGTGTCTGTGTTTACTTTTATATGTAGTAATTGATTGTGGAAGAATAAGATTTACTTTGAATTCGAATGAATCGAGTGATATTTATATTTGTTGAATTACGTTGAAAGTACATTTCTAAATAGTACACTTCGGGTTAAACTACATGGTAACGAACACCTAAGTAAATAAATTTCGAAAATTAGAATATTATTCAATTCACAACTGCGACACAATTGCATCATTTGCTTCAAAGCTGATAGAAGTAATGTTTAACCCTCCAAGAAAAGCACACTTTGTATTCATAATATATATTATATATGTATTATTGTTTCCTAACTGAAGATCGTGCTGATCAATCATTTGGGATAGGTCTGAGTTAGTATTTATTTAATATTATAACACATTATTATTATCATCATCATCATCATCATCATCATCATCATCGTCATCATCATCGTCGTCGTCATCGTCATCATCATCGTCATCGTCATCGTCATCGTCGTCGTCATCGTCATCGTCATCATCGTCATCATCATTTGTAAGATGCAGATGTGAACATTAGAGTAAAGACGGCTGATGACCACGACGTGCCGCATCGACGCTCCAGAACGGAAAGTTCGAGGAGGAAATGTTGAAAAGGAAAATTGCGAGAAAAGCGTAGAATGTAGAACGTTCAAGAAGGTTCGATTGGGATCTGTTTCCGATTTAGAAGTGTTATCGCGCGGCACGTCCGTAGCGTCAGTCACTTATGGGACTCCGATGTAACCGCGCCGTGTTCAATAAAAACCGTTACCTATCATTAATAATATTTTATTTCTTAAAAACAAAGGTAGTCCGTGTAACATTTCTCTGTTACTAATTACTATATTCGACAAAGGAAAATAGAATCAATGCGAGAAGGAAAAAGTGGAGAGAGTTAAGGAAATAAATATGCTTCATGGTCGGTATGAGGCAAAAATAAAGTGCGTAAATTATTACTAAACTTAATTCTGATAAGTTAGTTTAGAAAACGAAAGTAAACACAATAATTGATACGTGCAGATGATTTCATGGAATAATTATCCAGAATTTTCGTGCTGAAAGTACGATTTAAGTATTAATGAGATCCGACATTTTAACATGTTAATCTCGGCCTATAAGTTAAACGAATCGAGACAATCTATTTAACGCAAATACGTTCGAATCGCATCATTGTGCAAGCAGGACGTTGATGGATACGAAATTACACTGTTCCGATTTAACATCCGTCAGTTTCAACGAAAAAATTCCGTACTTATTCAGAGGCTAGACTACTTTCCATGCCTTCAAGGTATATTTTTTTCAAGGTATTATTATTTACATTATGCAATTATTAATTTTTTTTTAAATTCCGAAAAAACGTACCTGTAATAACAGTGATTTAAAAGAAGTGGTCTAAACAGTTACACATCTTTCTGCTATTTTTAACCAAATAAATTCTTCTGTAAAGGATTCAGCTTTTTTATCTAGAACACAAAAGTTATTACTGTATTATTTTAATATAAACTGTTTTATGACAGAAATAGTTACAATATTTCCAATAGTCACAATTACGTAGATCTAAGTGTGGTAAAATGTTTAATAATATTCATGAAGATTCTTATTCCTTTGTGAAATTAAAGAAATTGAAAAAATGACAAACGAAGATATTTATTCGCTGGAACCAATAGTAGAATAAATAAATTTTTGTAGATTACTGCATAAAATTGCATTTTCAAGAATGTATATTAATACCCACAATTATTCTCTTAATTGAATTAAAAATCGCTGGTAGTATTCGTTAAATAAATATAGAAATATAAATATTGGACCCTCCATTGGAAATCTTGTACTGTGCTCGGTTCTTTTTTTAAAATCTCTTTGTACTTTGATCTTTGCAATACGTGCAGATCGTACCGACACAATAAAATGGACTTTATGAATCCTATGAAATTGTGACAGTCATACGGGACATGAATTTTATTCGACCGCAGACTACTGCTTTTTTATTCTGACAGCAGATTTAATTATAGATTGGCATGCGTGTTTGTAACCGAGGTTTTCAATTTTCATGGAACGGCGTGGACGTAGATTTTATATGCATAGTAAAATTCGTATCAAAAAGGTATAATACCGCTTTTGACCATAATGTATTCAATTTAAAAATGGCACTTTATAAGAAGACAATTTTAGTGACAACAGAGTACATATTAAGCTATGTCGTGGCAAATATTTTCTGTTCTTAATCATAATCATGATTTTAATTTTCTTAAAAAATATTTCAAATGATTCCCATATAATTCCACTTTCAATAATCATTGATATAATATTTAAGCAGAATAATATATTTAAATACATTCAAATCGTTCACAATGATACTTCATGTATTTTTCTTTTATCCGAGTTTTCTACTCTTGATTTAATTAATTCAAAAAAATTTATATGTATATAAAGATTCACCGTTTATGTATTACATTATAGATATCCATATTCAGTGTATAAACAATGAGTTTGTATCCTAATATTTATCGTCTGGAACGCGATTACTTTAATTAGGATGAATTCTGTTTATCCGACATCGTTCCGCGCGAGATCTAATTTCCATTTTCGACTATTCAGTCTAGCTTCTGGTCTCTGAAAGTCACACCATAATTTCTGCGGGGAGAAGCTGTAGAACATTTCAAATACTGGGAGTGTTTTGAACCGACCGATGGTATTAGGTAGCTGGGGGTGCTGTACACACAGATACACAACGAATCGAATCGCCAAGTATCATTGGTGTTCCAGGTCAGCATAGGTTGTTGCCTTCGGTTATCATAGAAATGCATCAGTGAAATCGTATCTAATGCAAACATGCATTTTTCAGGAACGCAGCGGACCCTGCACGTAATATCCGTCGCATGCATTTACATTTATTGCGTCCTTTGTTTTCAGTTTCCGATGGTGTTTTTTTACATACCTGCGGGTTTCATCTTGCGTTCGGAGTTTCAAACTGTGTTTTCAAATAATGGCAGATGCACGAGGCATCGAGAAACTAATTTTTAACTTTCACGAACGCATATTATTCGTGCGACGGTACATCACAATAGTTAGTTGCTATAGTCTAGTGAAATCTCGCAAAGTAAAATCACATTTCATCAAAGTAGTAAAAGCAATATGTATAGTATTATTTACAGACATAATACTTTTTGATTTCTGACGAGTAATATCAAACTATTAACACATTGCGTACCGGCTAATTTTCAGAAAACTGAATTGTGCGGACGGAAGTTCTCACTGTGATCAACTTATATCACTATACATAGAAAAACTCAGATATCATATTGTTATGTAACATATTTTAAATAGATAATCAATTCGAATTTTATATTTTTTCAATGAAGCTTCCAGCATAATGTAAAAATTATCCGTCGCATTACGACGAAGACAAGGATGATTACTTCGATCGTGTACTCAGTGGAATAATCATGAAAAAATCATCATTGTTATAATCACGAACAAAAAGTCAGCCCATAGAGGGTTAACGTACTCTCACAATATTAACAATCGAGTGAAGCTTCTAGCGTAATGTAAAAATTATCCATCGCATTACAACGAAGACAAGGATGATTACTTCGATCATGTACCACTCAGTGCGTAATTGTAAGTAGCAGGGTCTTCGTGGAATCGGCTATAAGGGCGCCAGAAGTGGTTCATAGTGGAGTTTAAGGGTGGATGGTAGTTGTGCAAGGAAGTGACGGCGGTTGTAGTTGATAGCAGGAGGTGCCATAGCGGTATGTGCCCCATCCAAGGGTTAAATGTTACCGGGCTGATGTCTGAGTGATTTGCAAGGCTGCAGGCATCACTGCTAATCTTGTTAAGCCTTCAGACCCTTCTTGCTTCTCCGCCTTTCACTCACTTGATAAGCTGTTACCCAGATGATCTTACATTCGACCTGATTAGCTGTCCAATCGGTGAAAAATGTATATGCACACCTGCGACGACGACCCGTCACATTGATTTCTGATTAGTCGGCTTCGGCGATGAACGGTCGATGAAGAATTTATACATTTTTCTATTATATTTATTATTATGTATTCCCATTCTTCATAGAATCCGTTTCTTCTGATTCTTATGCCATTCTTCAAAGATTCGAACTGCTTCCTTAGAATCGGTACTTTGATCAATCTTCAATTTACTTTCCTGAACAGTTTCTTTTAAACTTCATTCACTTTATCTCACATTAATAAAATTCGCTATTTTTCGGTTACAATAGCTTCGACAAATTTCAAACCTAATATTCGGGAATTATTATTATAACATTGAGAAATCTGGGCCTAAAGGGAACGCCAAGCAAATCAAACTAGGCACTTAACGCGTTAAATCCCCCATAAAGGCGACAATAAGCATAACCAACACGCGAACTCCATTAAAGAATATTTCAACGACTCCAAACGACCAACCAGTCGCGGTAACAAGCGCGAGCTTCGGTCGTTCCGATTTCATTCGATTCCGTTGCTTTTGTCCCGCGGTCGAAGCAGGGGTCTTCGCAGTCCTCCGCGCTTGTCCGGTCGAGGAAAAGGCCGCCGTTAGTGAAAAGTTCCCCGATCGCCGCGTGCCCGCGCAAACGGATACGTACATTCGCCGTTTCCCTCCGGCGTCGCGTTCCACGGTACGCGATTTCCTCGTCGCCCGCCGATGAAAGTGTCTCCCGACGCTCTCC